TTGACAATATACTGTTTTTGTTATGAATTATTTCTTGATCATTTGACCTCTACCTCTATTGTTGAAGTTTCACAGGCCAGTAAATCAATTTTATTCAGAAAAATTCCCTTAATTTTTTCTATATAAATTAGAAACATAATATTGGTAACAAATCAAGTAACAAAACTGTACTAATGTAATTTAAATACAGGGACAAAAGTTGGAACCAAAATCACATTCACCTTAGAAGGTTGATTGATAATGAGTCCATCGACTGTCTATTAAACAAAAAGTAAATGAATTTTGCACACACAATTTGAGGGTAGTTCGAGCTACCCTTAACGTTGTGAACGGATTGCGTAGTGTCATTCCGTTCGAACCTGAACAATTGCAATTTCCACTTGTGCTTCATGACTTCTTAGGAACTCGAGCCACTTGACTTGATGGGGGCCGAGTGTGTCTTCGGGACCTTTCACTTCGACGAACAAACTCTGTCGACAAACAACAACGACCACATCGTTACTTCCTGTATTCTGCACAGGTTTTTGGCAGTGGTTCCGGGGGCGGCACCAAGAGAGGGTTGTAGCAAATGCTGAACCACCAACCCGAAATAGAGGGGGAGTAATAGAGGGGAGAGAAATGAAGTGTCATGGAATAAAAGGGTGTTGCGAACGCCGGATATCTGCACCGCAGCTATTGGCTCCTGCGCACGTACCTTGCCGTTCTCGGGATTCCATAAAAGCAAATCAGGAAAGCCTTGTCTGTATGAGCAAAAGTCGAGGAAAAATCGTCTGCAGATTGCGACGAATAGTGGTACCGTCAAGCACTTCAGCAACTCCTGTAAATCGCAAGGGAACAGTTAAGCGAGCAGGTTCGTCGTGTTGCAAAGGGACAAGCGTTCACGACCCCTACCCCAGTGAGAAATGATCAATCCAAAACACATCAATTTGACGTAAAGTCGACTACATATCAAATTTTGGGACACATTTTCACCAGTGACGTCAAATTGATGTATTTTGGATTGATCATTTCTCACTGGGTACTCGCCTCTATGTCCAGCCCCTGCAGCAGGTCCCAGCGCACCAGACTGGGCGTCCCGTGGCGGGCTTCTCTGGCCTTGGAGAGGTCGGCGGCCAGCGCCCTGCTGCCAGCTTCCTCGCCGGCGTCCTGGGCGCGCCGTAGCATGCTCTGCAGTCGCTGCTCCATGGTGAGGTGCCTCGCCACCCAGAAGCTGTCCGTGCCCCAGTCCAGTGGGCGGTCCTGGACCGGCGTCCCCCAAGCCCCCGACACCTCCGCGTCGTACACCTCCTTCCACAACGCCAGCACCGCCAGCGACAGCAGCGTCTCGCCCTCGTCGTCCGCGCCGCGCGGGTACTCGTCGGCGTAGTGGACCATGGCGCGCTCCTCCACAGACAGGTACTCCACGGCCTGGCCTCTGGGCTTGCTCACGTACACCCTCTTCATGCCGGGGGCAGACCTTCGAAACGATTTGGAAACGACGTCGGAACGATGTAGACGATTCATAATGACCGTGTAAATCACATCGTTCCGACGTCGTCTTGACACGTGCACACTCACCTCGCGCAGGCACTGGATCGAATCGTCACCGTCGGGAACTCGGGCCGGTCCTTGTCGGGCAGGAGCGCCTGCAGCCGCGCGCAGGTGTCCTCCAGCGCGCCGCGGACCCCCTTGCCGACGGCGCACTTGGACCCGCGGAGCACTGTGCGCGCCCGCTCCTCGAGGCGGCACCGGTGCGAGCCGCGGTGGCCCCCGTCCTCGAGTTCGCGGACCAGCAGCTCGGCCGCCTGCGGCAAAGGAGGGCAAAAAAACGTGTAACAGTGAAAAGAAGAGAAAATCGGCAGATAGCTTGGGTCAGCTTGTGTTGGGCTCACCCCCTGGTAGTCGAGCATCCGCGTCTGCAGCAGCGCGGCGAGCCGAACCGCCCACGCCGCGCGCCGCTCCTGGACGAGCTCGTGCTGCCCCAGCAGCACCCGCAGCACCGTCACGGCCGCGGCGTCCACGTCGGCCTCCCTCGCGAGGGCCTCGGAGGCCGCGTCCAGCAGCTCGACCATGGCGCCGCCGATGGCGCGGCTCTGTGGAGTCCTGCCGGGAAGCCAAACCGTGAGATGTCTCCTCTTTCTCGCCCGCGACACACACGGACTTCCCCGCTGCGTCCACCTACGTGGTGTTGTTGGACTCCAGGTGGGCGCGCAGTTGGACCAGCACCTCGGCGCTGATCGTCAGCACCTCCGTCGTCTTACCGCCGGCGATGGCCTTCCCCAGAGCCACCCGTTCGTTGACTACGGCTTGCCAACTGCAACAGGAGGGTTTCGACTGTAAGAGGATGGAATTCATTGCCCCGCGTGATTTTCCCTGTTTCCTGTACTGGAGAAATAAAGGTGCTAAGTCGCACCTCTCTGCAGGGGTCATCGAAAAACTTTGAGTTCAATACCTTTGTGAAGGCACTATAGAGTCCTAAACGGGCTACTAACAATGAGTGCTTTTGGAAGTTGTAATGCTCTTGTAAAGGCACTTCACTTAACCCTTGCCACCTGTTAAAGGTGCGAATTAGCACTTTTGTTGTTCTAGTGTTCATCAAGTACATTACTGAGCGTAAACAGAATTTCGTGCACATTAATGATTTTCTGAAACCCCATCTCGCTCCTCGTTTATCTGGTTACTTATCGTGCGAGTACACTCACTCGAGGAGCTGCTGCCTGGTGTGGAACATGCTCTGCGTCGGGCCGTGTCCGCCGGGGAGCCCCTCGGGCACCAGCAGCCTGGGGCAGTCCTGCAGCAGGATGGTGCGGACGGCGCGCAGGCGGTTGCCGTCGCGGGGCACGGGCAGCCAGGCGGCGACGGAGAGCAGCGCGCGCACCACCAGCTCGCGGGGCCCGGCGAGCACCCGCACGCACCCGCCCAGCACGCCTCTCACCCTGTGGGAGCAGAGACAATGACGCGTTGTCCTTGCTGCTGTCAGCGGCGGTCCGCAAGTTGGCTCCACTCTGTGAAACTGTGAAACTGCGGGTGTTCTCACTCACCTCTCCTGCAGCAGGCAGCCCTGCTGCGGGCCAGAGACGCGGAGTCGCAGCAGCGCCCTGACCAGCGCCAGCCTGGTGCGCCGCCCGGTCTTCACGCCCAGCGAGACGGTGATCTGCTCCAGCTCGTCCACGAGCAGCAGCGCGAGCACGTCGCGCAGCTCGCCGTCGTCGATGGCTGTGGGGGCGGGGCACATCGAGAAACTGGTTACGCTGGCGTCAAAATGACAAAATTCAGGATGAAATTTTTGCCTCAAATTATATGTCATATTTAGGGGAATGGCGTCATTTATACCAAAGGGTTAAGAACGCCGCATCGAGGGGTCCTTCACTCAAAAAAAGTCAGTGTACACCCTTCGAAAAAATCATGAAAAAATTACAAAATAATCATGAAAAAATCAAAAAAAAATCACAAAATAATCATGAAAAAATCAAAAAAAAAAAATCAGAAAAAATCAATA